GTAGTAGTAGTAGTAGTAGTAGTAGTAGTAGTAGTAGTAGTAGTAGTAGTAGTAGTAGTACTAGTAGTAGTCAGTAGTAGTAGTAGGAGTTGTAGTAGTAGTAGTAGTAGTAGTAGTAGTAGTAGTAAAACTACTACTACTACTACTACTACTACTACTACTACTGCTACTACTACTACTACTACTACTACTGCTACTACTACTACTTCTTCTTCTGCTACTACTGCTACTGCTGCTGCTACTTCTACTGCTTCTGCTACTTACTGCTACTACTACTGCTGCTGCTACAAGTACTGCTGCTGCTGCTGCTGCTGCTGCTGCTGCTGCTGCTGCTGCTACTGGTACTAGTACTAGTGCTACTAGTACTAGTGCTACTAGTACTAGTACTACTTCGTAGTATAAATAGTACTGGTACTAGTAATAGTATTAGTACTAGCACTCGTACTACTAATACTAGTACTACTACTAGTACTACTAGTACGACTAGTACTACTAGTACTACTAGTACTACTACTACTAATAATAATAATGATAATAACAATAATAATTGTACTATTAGTTCTATTAGTACTAGTACTAGTGCTAGTGTTCGTGCTAATGCTACTGCTGCTACTACTGCTACTACTGCTACTACAGCAACTACTGCAACTACCACTTCCACCACAACTACCTCTGCCACTGCCACTACTTACTATTACTGCCACTGCTACCACGACTACGAGTTGTACTAGTAATTACTTACTACTTGGTACATACTACTTCTATACTTATAAACTTATATACTACTACGTACTACTTACTACTAACTTTTATAACTTACTTACTTCGTACAGGCAGTGGATGCTGAGCGCTGAATCTCAGGACCCGTCGCTGTCACATTGACTGGTGCAGTTGGACACCTGCCAAAGTTCCAGGCTTCATCGCTCTGCGCTTCCGCCGAGAGCTGTCCCGAAACCCCTTGCGGCGGCGATGCGAGCCTTGAGGCCCTTGTGACAGTCTTATGCAAGGAACCACTTGTTTGACCCCATGCCTCCTTGGCATCTCGAGCCTCGCACCTGCTCTGGGAGGCTGGAGCATCCATGACGAGTCTGCAAACTGCCGCTGTTACCGTTACTGCAAAATGCCTTCGGCAGACCAGGACACGGAACATTCATCTCCTCCGGCCTCTTGCCGCAGTGGTTGGCGAGTTTCATGATGTCGCGCTGTCTGAATCTCCTCCACTTCTGAATCTTGGAGAGGATCTGCTTATTTGCAAAAACTTGAAAAACTAGTTCCAAAAAGCTTTCACTCAGGGGCCGCTGCTGATCACCACACTTGGAACATGCGCCCCATTCGGACCAGTGGCCCCACAGACAATCCACCTGCCATTGTTGAAGCACCGAAAAACGGTTGAGCACGGTACTTATGTGCGTGTGTCGCAGTAGCCTGTCTGAGGAACAAAACTTTGGAGCAGCTCTTGGGAATGTGAACAAAGCAGGTAGTTTGCGAGTCCAAGGGCGCACGCAGCCCTCCCCGCATGGATTGGTAGCGCAGGGTGTCCTGGCCATCAACCCAATCAGGCTGTGCACTCGAATTTAAAGTCTGTCCTCTCGACGGGCAGTCAACAGGCCAGGCTGTCGTCTCTCTTAAGGAGGCCTGGCAAGGGCGTCCATTGTTTGAGGCCGGTGTGAAGATGTACCGCAGCCTGTCATGCTGGTCGACAAGCCAGGAAGCTTCAATGGAATCAGGTTTTGCACCTCATCTTGTTTCCACCGCCGCAGGTGACAGGACATTCAGTCCACTCATTCCTGGCATGAGTGAAAGGCACAACCTGTCTGCTGAAAGCTTTCTAGACCTGCTCCTCTGGTATCCATTGGAAAGGTGTCTATCGCCGATGTTCAATAAGAACGATTCGGCCGGCCGACTTGTACTGCGGTATTGTTGAATGTAGCAGCCTTTCTGCACCATCGACCGTGTTGCCGTTGGTGATCGAACTAGGCAAGACACGGCACTGGAGTGCAGGACAGAAAGGGGCATGTGCTCGGAACAGATAATCTCGTCGGTCGAACCACTGGCTCAACTTGCAGTCCGCATGGTGGTGAACACACCTGAGTTCGCGAGCATTTGGGGCTCTTTAACGCAGCTTTGCCGATTTGGGTGCAGAATTGCTGCCGTCTCGCTGAAACTTCCTCTCAAAAGCTGTGAGTTTGCAACACCTTGAGCTGCACCGAGGCTCAAGCTCACTGGGAGCTGACTCACGGGGGCCTGGATGGCACCTGACAAGTAACTGCCACAGCCTGCTTGGGGCATGCACCCTCGGCCCTGCTCCGGGTGGACATGGCTTAAGTTCCCGGCGGCTGGATTTGCTTCAATGGTGCGAAAGGGATTGGCCTCAATCGGTCGCGGGACTGCCAAGTCATCTTTCCGTGAGGCGAATCAATGTACAGCGGGATAGTGTTTTCGACGTTTAGTTGAAGGCGGCGATTGCCTTGAGCAATTCTTCTCTTTGATCGTCGTTCTAACAAACCTGCGGAGCATCGCCGCGTTGTAAACATTTGTAGCGGTATTTGCCAAGTTACCCCCACTGCTGCTGTTGCTGCGGCTCCTGCCAGTGCTACTTTGCACGGACATCGATCCGGTCATCCACAGGTTCGCTTCACTCTTGCGGTGACAAGAAGGGCAACATCTCAGAACTTTGCGAAGATCAGATCGATGCTGTGAATGATGTGGTTGCTTGCACATGAACCTGTTCAGCGTTTCTTCAAGCGTTTTTGCTCCGAGAATCAGCATTGACAAACTGAATTGGAGTTGGGCAGAAAATGGCAGCAGATCAGAACCGAAGTCGGGCCATCAGACGAAGGCCTTCGTGACTGTTTGTCAGACGAAGCTTTGATGGTTTACGTAAATGTCCCTTCACTGCAAAGGCAGCTACAACAACAACATCCATTACTTGAGCAAACCCAGCTGTTGCTGTTGCCATTCTTGAGGAGTGCAGGCGACAAAACTTGTGCAAGTCTGCTCCTACATGGTGTCTGAAGGCTGCGAATCCCAAACAAGCCATCGTTCGAGTGACCACCCGGTAGTTCCAGGAAGGGAACTACTGTAGGTCTAGACTGGATTTACGCAAGAACTTGTTCAAGAGACAAAGAATGATGTCTCGTAGTGATGTGCTGGCACGCACAGGAATGCCGATGCAGTCTTGCGCCTTACGAAAAAGCTCCTTCACATACCAACCACTCAAGAACAGCAGGTTGTGACTGAATTTCCTGGCATTAGGCATTTTGCAACGCCACCGAACATTCTCTTGCTCATTTTGTTAGATGTGTGCAACGGGAACACTCGTTTCCACGCTGCTTCCAGCGAGACAACATACAGCGTGCGGAACATCCAATGCAGCGGCAGGACCACCACATCTGTGCACGAACAGAGCTTTGTCATGTTGCAGTTGTCAAGAACAGACATATACAAGGATGACCTGAATCAAAGAAACACGATCACAGTCAAATTTGGTGGCACCCAAAATTTTTTTGGGCAGGTTCTTCAACTTCTGCTGCAAAAACAACAACAACAACTAGTACTGAAACTGTAGATACGGTACTGGTCATGAGCCTGGATGTGATTATTCCATGCCGCTGTAGATATTCCAATTCTCATACGCAGGTCCTGGGTTCATTGGTTCTCATTGCCCGTCATCATTGTGTACATTCTTGTTTGTTCAGCATAAAACTCAGCATGCATCAAAATCTGCCATCTGTTACTGCCATTAATTTGACTATCATCCAATCTAGTGTTGTTGCCATCATGTCTTAGGCTATAGCGGCTGTGGTGTGGCCAATATCTCTTCGTGGGGATTCTTGACCGACATACCCTCTCAGGGTATACCTGCGCCGGATTGCCTTTGAAGGTGTAGGACTCGCCATTCGATAGCTCCCTTTCAGATGTCCGCAGCTTCCTACAATTTCTGATCCAACGCCATCTCCTCATCTGTAAATCCGCAGCATTTTTCGAACTTGCTCTCCTAAGACATTCCGATCGCTGTTACACACACATGTGTGTGTATATATGCGTATGCATATATATATACATATATATATATATACATATACATATACATATATATATGTGTGTGTGTGTGCGTGCGTGTGCGGTGTGCGTGTATACATGTGTATATATATATATATGTGTGTGTGTATATATATATAAAATATGCATATATATATATAT